ACATTATCAAGCTGGTCAGAAATTAGTCAGAAAAAAATATATAAATTCCAAATTATTAGAACTTGTACCATCTGACTGCACAAAGTGAATGCCATGGATATAGTGAAGAGATGGAAGAGCAGAGTTAGTAACAGATGACAAAGCAGGCATCTCCCTGATTTAATCAATGTCTATGTAATCATGTAATCACCTGCACCTGAACCATACCATGGTTTTGGCAATAATTAATCTTTTGGATTTATTTTTTATTTATTTTTTTTTTTTTTTACAGTTCCAATTCCAGTTGATGTGCACATTAAATGACCCAAAAGTTCACCACTGAATTTGGCCCAGAGCCCACAGAAAGAACCAGGTAATTTATTAGGGAACTGTCCTTCAACTTCCTGTCTCATAGAAAATCTTAGCAGGATTTTGAAAATGTTAAAGCAAATTACCGAATTGCTTTTTAAATGACTTCAGATAACCTGCACAAATGTTATGCAACATACATGTGCAGGGGAGCTTGACTTTGTCTCAAGAGATTTGCTTGTTTTTGCCCAAGAATTAAATGTACTCATAATAGATTTTCTATCAGAAAATAATTAACTCAGTCTTAACTTGCATTACTGTTTCGATTTATGGTTGTGTTTACTATGTGTTCTCTTTTACAAAGCCACTTGCGGAATTTCATATTTCCAGAACAGCATTTTATTGAGACCCATTTGCTTGGAGTACTCTTTTCTTCATGATTTAGCTAATGTTTTAGATCATTTATTTTTATTGACAGTGAGACTAGTCCATTTGGTTGACTTTCTCAAACATTAATCTCTACAACTTTCATTTAGACTGCCAAGGTTTCCTCATTTACACTTGAAATCATCCCATTCACCTCTCTAGGAAAAGGGAGGTTAGACCTCACATTTCTTGCTCTCAAAGAGAAAGAAGAGAAATGGTAGCACCATCCCATTGCCCTTGCTTTTCTGATTTACAGCTGTCACTGTGGAGGACTCTGGGAAGACAGGTGTGGGCAGCCACCCTCCATGTTACTTTCCAAAAGTTTCTTTCAAAACATGATGCTGTACCCTTCAATCAAAAAATATTTCTTACTGATCCTCTCTCTTATTCACCAGTGAACTATAGCAGAATTCTACCAGACTTAGTGCTTATCCTAGAGCATTTGTGAATCAAAGATTTCCAGTGGTTAAGTTGAAAAAGACAGCCTTACACAGGAGGTGGAATAGGCAGGCAGTGACACCAACCAGATCAGGCTGCCTGTGATTGTACTCGATGGGATTTGGTGTCCAGTGGTCCTCTATTCTCTGCTCCCCAGCCTCAAATCTTTGTCAAAAAACAAAACAAAACAAAACAGAAAATTGTCTCCTTGGGAAGAAGGAAGTGATTTTTATCTTCATTTGATAAACCTAGCTAGTTTTGTAAGCTAACATAACATAACTGCAAGTTCTTATTGGGCACATACCAATGGGCACAGGACAGTTAATTGAGAGTATCAGAAAGTTCACTTCATCTCATTTTATAACCACTCTGATCACTTCACATAGCCTTCTCCAGGGAAAAGGCTGTAAATCATGACAACTGAATGAAACAGTTGAATTATGAGGTTTTGTCACTAGGAGTTATACTGCCTTCTTTCTAGGATACATTTGTCTCAAGTTAAAAGTTCCTAAAATAATAATTGGTTTTGTATTGTTCTGAGATTTCTATCAAGAGAATAATTTCTTGCAGATAAGGTATCAATTACTTGATGACTTCAGCCCCTTTCGAATCATCAGCTGATAAGTACAATTAGGTGCTGAATCAGAAGGACCCTTAAATACATGATCTAAATCCTACGTACCCGGGCCTGATCCAAACTGGGAAAATAAAAAAATAATCCCAAGGAATCCATAGACACCATTAGAAATAAGATCTGTAATCTTGACTAACATTTAGTATGAGGGACTAGATCTCTCCAGTGTTATCTCTTGTGCTTTCCACACTTATTTTCTACTCTGTCTGAGAAGAAAGCACTGGAGATGCAAGGCTAGATGTACATTTGATATAAATTAACATAGTTCCACTGAAGCCAACAGAGGTAAAACGTTCTAAAACTGCTACAGATCTTTTCCCACATCTTTTTTAGAATGGATGTAGTATATTTATTTATATTAAAGTGCAGAGGTCATCTCAGCAGTAATCTCTAAGACACAGGCTTGCTTATCTTTTATGATGAAGGAATTACATTTCTTCTAGCTGAGGTGATAAAAATCTACTATTTCTTGGAAGATGACTTGCTGGAAAGCAGATAAATTGAGCGCACCGTACTCTGTGCTAGGAGTTGAAGAGATATGATTGCTGACCTTGCTAGTGAAGAAGGGCTCTGGTGTTAATGCAGTTAAGCTAAAAAGATTGTGTTGGTGTCATTCAGGGGTGGATAGTGTTCCCCCCCCCCCCCCCCCGATTAAAAAAAATAAATAAATACAAGTTCATTACTCTTATTAGGGCCAGGCAAAACACCTTGGTCAAGTACAAGTGAATTGTCACAATATAAGTATATTCTAAAAAATGTATTATTTTCTAGTAGGCCAAGTTCAGCCTTGTCACAAAGCTCTAATCCTGTCCACTGCTTGTTTCTTGTTTCTCTTGAAGCCTGCTAGATGTGGAAAGAAGCAAATAATGTTCCCACCACTTACAAAAATACACATGACCAAAACAGAGATGTCCCCCTATTCTTGTGGTGACTGTGGGTGGGTAGCAAGTTGTGTGATGCAGCTGTATGGCATACTCCATGGCATACCTCTTTCCGTGTCAGGAAAGCATGGGATCAGAAACCTAAGACAAATTTGTGTTCCTTTGATGGATGAGGAAGGTATGGCCTGTTACAATCAAAAGGCTGGACAAAGTTGGTGCAAAGAAGTGCTTTGCAGCCAGTGGCTTACAGACAGCATCGTGATCTACAACTGGGGCTAGAGCAAAGTATAAATTGCCTGCAGCACATCACCTACTCAGCAGCTTTGCTTGTGGCTCAGCCAAGTCACGGTTGTTGGTTTAACCAGTAAATATTCAGCCTCTCTTGAAGAGACTGTTATTCAATTATCAGTTTACAAATAAATAAATATTTATTTTTTTAGGCTCCCTGAGTGCATTTTCTCTTTTTATTGATGTTACTTCACATGACTGAACGCTAGAAATATCTCCCGTTGTAATTATGCAACAGAACATTTATTTGTAGTTTCTGTTTGGGTTTTATGGCCTGGATAACATTTAGTCATAGCGAATGTCTGCCATTTCTATTCATTATTTATTGTTTGTATTTCAACAGGATGGTGTGAGAACTGGACAATTACTGCTTCATACAATTTTGCCAAAAGTGCAGCTGCAGAATGTTGCTGAGGACTTCTCCAAGTCACCACCAGCAGGAGTAAAACTAAAAATGCCTGCGCGCACGGTGCATGCACTGCTGTGGGCAGAGCAACAAGGCTCAAAAGAGGTGACAGCACCAAAATCTGGGTGGCCATTTGGCTGCTGCCATGTGGCATGATCCAGCAGACAAAACATCACCTGTGTGCTCACAAGGGGGAGGAAGAATGGGTCTAAAACAGTTCAGGACTTCCTATCTAAACCATACTTTGAGAAGCTGAGAGTCAGAAACACCACTTTGCCCTGTGGAACAATTCTATGAGAGAGCCATAGAGAATGGGCTCAGAGAACGCAGTTCAGAAAAAATGGTTTTCCTGGTATGAACCTCTATTATTTGGCACTAAATCTAGGAATAAAACATAGCCCTCTAGGTTCGCAGCTCAGCACGGTGACTAGTCAATGACAGGGTGTCCTGTTTGTTCAGCTTTACAAAATGGCTGCTCTCGCATCACCAGCTCCCAACCCCCTGTGAAGTCGCAAGCCACCTACGATTTTTTTCTGCCCTAGTTTCTTTAAAAAAAAAAAAAGAAAAAAAAAAGAAATCACAACACCGCCAACCACTTTTTGCATGGCAGTCTTGGTCGTCTTTCACTACACCGGTCCATCCAGCCTGTTATTTAAGTTCCTACTGAAAAAAAAAAAAAAAAAAAGGAAAATGAAAAAAAAGGAAAAACAACAACAAAAAAAACTTTCTTCCACAGTGCCCACACAAAGTGAGTCAATGTTCTTTTCCATTCATCTCAGAGAGACCAGGATTGCATCCAACATGTTTTCTTAAAAAAAAAAAAAGAAACAGAAAAATAGAGGAAGAAGCACGGGTAAAAACACCAGGACATTCATACAAATCAGCTGAATAGTTGCACGACTGTGTTTCTACAACCCTTAATCTTCCTCACTCACGCCCTCCCTACTATCAAACATACCATGTGGGCCTAGCTGGTTAACTATTAACTTACTTTGTGCATAACAGAATATTTAAAAATCCTATATAGTAGCAACCTTTTTTGCATGTGATCATACTTTTTTTTTTTTTTTCCCTCCTTTCCCTGAGACAGATTATCCAGTTAGATATTTTATATAAGAAGGCCCTCCTTCCACCACTATAAAATTCTAAGTCCTGGGCAATAGCTTCAACTTGACAAAGCTTTGGCTCTTCAATTGTCTCACTACAGGCCCTGGGGACTCTGAGAACAACAGAATTGCTCCATTTCTTTGACACTGATCTTGCTTGCTTCTGGATTGCTCTTAGCATTCACCTTTGCTATCTGTAAGGCTTGTGTACCCATCAGTGCTCAGTGTAACAGTGTGGAACATCAGCCCTGCCTTATCTACCAAGGTTTGGTGCCATTACTGGTTTGAGGCAAAGCCTAATGGATGAGGAGTGACAAACTGCCAGCAGGTTCAAAAGGTAGTATCAGATACGCTTGAGATTTTTTTTTTTTTTCTTCTGGATTTTTCCCTGGATTTCATTTGGTATTCATATGGAGAGCTTCATTTCCTAGTGCTGAGGTCAGGTTATCCTGCCAGGGACAGAAAGACCCTGCTGGGGTGCTCAGAAAACAGCCAGTCCCCCAGCTACAGGCTGCCCGATCATCTTCACCCACCTTGCAGCAATGGCTTGGGAGCATGGTTGTGGCCTTGGGTGCAGCGAGCAGCTTTGGTGCTGGTAGCAGCCTGAAGCAGTAGAGCAACAAGAGCAGAGCTGTGATACGCAGACTTCTGCTGCACAAGGAAAAAGCCCCAGTGCTTGCTGAGCTTTTCAGCTGGGTATTACTTATCTGTTAATTTAATGGGTAGGTTTGATTAGCGCTGATTAGTACTGATGAAATAATGCAGTGTCTTCAGATGTGCAGAAGGATTCTCCACACAGAGCTTCACCATGCTTTTAAAGTGATTAATGTGTTGGGGCCATGAACTATCTTAGGATGTCGATTTTAATGTTGTGCTGGTAACTAACAAGGTGTGCCAGTGCAGGTGGGTGCACAAGGTAAGGGGCAGAAGCAGCGTGCTATTCCCGGTTTACAGATCAGACATCAGGATGACAACAGGCCACATCCTCTGCACTTACTTGCCCAGGAATCCTGAAGGAAAGCTGCAACCAAACCCTGATCTCTGAAATCAGGCTGAGAGGAGGCTTCTGGCACCTCAGCCGAGCGTGGCCCCACTCTGGAGCCCTGATGGGCAGGGCCTCCCCGCACCACCTGGGGCTGAGACCGGTGAGGCCTCAGGGTGTGGTAGCGGGTCCACCTGCTCATCACCCATCTCAGCAGCTCTGAAATGTGAGCAGCAAAGCCAAGCAAAACCGGAAATTTATTTTAAGTGTGCAAACAGAATGGTAGGAACCTGTCTCGTTGCGCACAGCATGTTCAAATACAGTGAATGGTGATTTACGTGTAGAGACCTAACAGGAGCACATTTCCCAACGAGGTTTTTCAGAAACCTTGCCTTCAGTTAAATTGTGTAAAACCCAGATCTGAAGCTTTCTGTGGAAAGCCTCTGCAAAGGTAGCACCTCTAGTTTCTGAGTAACTGTGATTCATATTAAATGCTTGGCTTCCCTGATATCAAATAAGATTGTACATTTGATTTCAATGATCAAGACTTCATTCATTGTCTCTATGGCATCATTCTTGGTTTTGACAGACTTAACTTTCCTGATATTCCAAGAATCATGCAATTGTTGAAGGTTTTCATAATTCAGAATAATACAATGTCAATTGCATTCCAAAACCAAAAAGGAAGTTATAAGTGGAAAAAAAATGATATTGTTAAACACACTCACCAGTTTGTCCCTGTACTAAATAAATCACAACTCTTACATACATTATTAAATTATTAAAAAATAAAATACATTAAATAAGAATTAAAAATGAAAAAGTATTAACTAAATGTGAACCATTTCTAGGTCTTCAGCTGCCAGCAATTAAAGCAACTGTATCTGAGTATGGTTAAAGTTATAGCAGGGTACCAGACACACATGCAAAAACAGAAGCAGGGCTCCTGAATGCAAAAATGTTTTGTTAACAATTTCTGAAGTAAGAACAGATTTCAGAGATGAGGTGTGTGTGCACTAAAGGAATTAGTGTGACACCATTCTGTAGAATTCACCTTTGCATAGAGGGCCCTATGTGACACTTTTAAAGAGCATTTTGAGGATAAAGTTTTGCAGATGCCTTCCATTAAGCTGGAGGGAGGACTTCACCCCCTTCAAGCAGAGACTTTAGGAGTGATCACCAACAGAAGAGTGAGAATGCTCCCTAGCCTTCCAGCAAGCCAAGAAAGACAAGTTTGATCTTAAAAGTAAACCAGTCAGAATTCTGGTTCCTCTGAACTGCCCGCTGGTTTCACTGGGTAACCCACCTGAGCCTTGCATCTGTGTCAGCACGGTTTTGCACAGATTCTGTGCTGAAGTGTCACTGAATCACCAGGAAGCGATAGGTCACAACTTAAAAAATGGAAGGAACGACTCCTGCCAGACAGGAATAATTGGCTTCAGACATGAGCTTTCCCCAGCCTCAACACCATTCATTTCTGCAGAATGGCTTAACAAAAGCGTCAACATAAATTTGACACTCTTATGGAAAGCCACCTCTAGGTGGAAGTATTGACCCTGCAGATAGAGATGAGATCATAAATACCTATGTGGCAGAAGTGATGGCAACATTTTTTAAAGATACTTCCTCTTATATTTTGCTCTTGAAACTGTAATTACATGAGGTGCCTTGAGATTTATATATCCAAAAGCAGGTTGCAAAGCTCACTTGAGACATGAATTTGTTTCTCTCTTGGCCCAGAGGTTTATGGTTCAAAAAAGCACTTCAAACATGCCGGACATTTACCTTCGGTGAACACAGCGGTGAAGGGAGCATTCTGGTTTTAAACACGTACTTAAGTGCTGCCCCCAGACTCTGGTTGCCACCTTGACCAGATTTTGATCAACATCGAGGCCTGCACATGTGGCTTATTCAATGTAATGGAAAGTTTTCATTTCAAATGGACGAAACAAGGACATTGCTGCTACTGCCATTTCCCTCTTCTGAGAACAAATCGTGAACTCCTGACTCCATATTTGAGTAGGTCATTCAAAGGATGACTCCTGTACTTTGTAAAGTACTTTGAGTGCTACAGATTGTAAGTGATATGTAAGAGTAGGCACTGTCATTATTCCTGCTTTGTAGAGTAAAGGTGTTATTCACAAGGGATCCCAAACCAGCCTTCTCAGACTAATTTCTGCGGAGGTGCTGAGGTAAGACGGACCATTTAGTTCACTTATCCAGATGATCGTGACACTTCTTTTCTCACAGTCTAGGCTCTTAGTTACAAATTATGAGGGAAAAATTCAAAAGGCGCTGAAATGCTGACTTTCACTGAAAATCACCACAAATTAGATGCCCCACCTCCATTTTGCACTCTAAAACTAAATAATAATTCATTATGCTCTTGGAGGGGGTTCTTTTTCTTTATTTACAGTTTTGTTTTGTTTCTGTTATATACTGGAACCTGATGAGGAGTAGTGTTTGGTTAGGCATACAGCTTCATAAATGGCTAAGTGATACAGGAGTAAAGCTGAGCATTATTATTTTTCGCTTTAGGTAGGTTTTATTTACCATCAAAAACACTGTTGACATTGACTGAACATCTTTCACCAACTGTTTGTGGTGCAGGGAAGAGGCTGAGAGGGAGGTGGGACAGCTGCTGGCACATCTCAGACTCTGGTCATAGCTCATACCTGCCTACAGGGATCACGGCTCAACTCCTCTTCATACCTGAGCACATTTGTTCACGTCTCCCACCCATCTGATGAATGCCATAAATGTGATGCTGCAGGGTACCCTCAGGTGCAGCCTTGTCGATAATTACTGGTAGCCCTGTTCCTCACGGCCTGCAACACTCTTCCAAATTAGAGAGCAAGGTCAAGCTGAAAGCAGAATACTGATAGGATAACTTTGGATCTGAATTCATGGCCAGGTAGCAAAGCTTGTGCCGAATGTCTCTAGGAAGGGCTCTGCCATTTGTGCAGCACCTAGGGAGTGTTTCCACCAGCGTGGCTATTCCTCATTAGCTTCGTGACCAGAGAGCTGACATCACTCTCAGGTCACGTCTTAATCTGAGCTTCCTCTGTGCCATTGAACATTGAATTTCATCCTGGAAAGGTGTGTGCATGTGAGTGTGTGCGTGTGAGCAGCCGAGTCAATGAGAGAATTGGTTTCCACCCACAACTGGCACTAATTAAGTCAGGCAGGGCACAGCTGGTGTAAGCTGCTTGAGGGAGGTGGCCAGGAGAGGAGCAGAGCGAGGGCCAGCCCTGCAAGCAGAGACCAGCAGAGAGTGGTCAGATCTCCAAAGGGAGACAGAAATCATTGGACACAGACTATTATCTTTCACTATATATCTCTGTAGATAGATTTCCACATACATAAGCTAGTTTTCCTAGTCCAGACAAGCTCAGATGCATTACACAGACAGCCGTATCATGAACACCTTTAGACTTACCATCACGGTGCACCCCGCAGGGCTCTTGTGTGGACTGGAGCAGCAGTTTGAGAGGGGCAGGGAGATGCTGTCACTCAGCTGCATTAACTCTCTCTGCCAGGAGATAGCAGGCATGCAGGTTGTTCGGTGAGCTCAAACGTTGGCTTTTCCCAGTGCGCTTCTCTCTGAGGCTGACCATTGGTCCTGTTAGAGACAAATGTAGGCACCTTGGGTAAGGCAGGAGCAGGGAAATAACTGCTATGACTCACGTCGGATACACAACCAACACTGCGTTTTCTTGGTGCTCTTATTCTTAAGTGAAGAACTAGATGCCAGAAGAAATATTAAGCTCTTATTAATAAAGTGCTGTGAATGTAACCTTTCCTTCAAGATACCCGTGCACTATGTTTTACACAAAACAAAGTATTTTCTGCTAATCCCTTAAAATATCAAGTACAAGGATATGGCTTTTTGTTCACAGGGTAGCTCACTGATTGATTACATGTTCATACAGGGGTCAAAGTCTGATCTTATTTATACCACTGTAAAGTAGATGATTTGCTACATTCTTTATAGAGGAATATTACTTTGAAGTTAATATATGTTACCATTAAAATATTTGGACTAGCGACCGCTGACTGCTTGGAGTTGGTCTAGAAACCAGAACCTTGCCTTCTGCCCTTTCTAGTCTGGTCATCTGAAAGACCAAGCAAGAAGCTCAGAGATGCTGCTGCACACTTGAGTTTGTGCTTTGGATTCTGGCATCTTTCTTGCACCCGTTCTTTAATAGGGAGAAAAAATCTAAATGGCAGAGCATATATCCTCCAAGCATTTCACTCCACCCACACAGTTCTTTTTCTTTAAAACAGTGGCTTATTCCCAACTGGAAAGGCAGCAGTCTAGCTAGAAGACAGGTTATATTCAAGAGAGAAAGGAAGGAGGTGGCTGAATCATAGCAATTTAACTCTGGCTGGGTGGATGTAAATCCAGCCACTGGTTGCTGCTATCACAAGCTTGGTATGATTTCGGATACAGGGAGCAGCATATTGTTCTGGGTAATGAAGGCTAGAGGTCAGAGCAGGCTATGCATTTGCCTTTATTGCTTGCACTCCAGCAGGTGCAATATTCATTGCCTCTGCTAGGAGCACAGCCATCTCTAGCATTACTAATGAAATGTCAAATCATATTTTTATTTACTTCCTTTCTTCCACACCTGCAAATAACCACATTGATAAACCCCAAACTGATCATTTGGGGGTTTCTAAGAATGCCC